TATTTATTGTTTCTCCCCCCTCTTCTCCTGCTAGACACCGAGACCGACGCCACTGCTACCCAGTACGACTACGATGTTGACGACCCCTCTCTCTTGCCAGAGCAACCAGGCAAGCCCCCCCTTGATCACCAGATATCGCCTACTCTCCTATATACTGCTTGCATTAGAGTACTGTAGTATGTTACTGCTTTCCGTTAATCCTATTCTGATGCATAGCCTGTCATTGTTGCTACAACTGTTGATACCTTACCTGTAATCCTAAATGCTTAGTATAGGATGCTAGATTATCATCAGTGGCCCTACATTCTTGTTCGTCTGCCATGCTATACTATCAGGCCGTGATCACTCGGGAGGTGGTCACGGGTATATACTTATACATAATATATGATACTTGTGGTGACAAAAGACGGGTCGGCTCGAGGAGTAACCGCGGTTGATTCACGAATTGGGGGCTGGAAGGACATACTTTCCCGACAGCCCTCTATGTGGATCTTTATGGCGAAGCGACAGGGCAGATTGAGACCACCTAGGAGAGAGGTGGGCCTGGCCCTGGTCGGCGTTCGCGGTTATTTCAAGATAACACGTTTAACGAGATCTTGGTATTTGATCTGAGTCTGGCCACTGGCCTATACGCACTAACCATCTACACGGGGACAGTTATGGGCACTCGACGTCGTGGTATCAGCCGAAGCCTTCGTGACGTCAGCGACTGAAAGGCGCACGCCGCATTGGACCGTAAGCTCGCGCTTGTATTAAGGGGGCTAGGCCTACTTCCGGCCGCGTACGCAATGTGCAGGTGTGCAATGGGTGATGGGCCCAGACCCTTGCGCCATAGGATTTAGACCGGCGTGCTGACCTCTCTGTTGTGCCTAGGTAGGGCTGCGACGTGTTGATCTTCCGAGGCCGGGCATGACCCAAAAAAAGTGTGCCCGGCCAAATGGGATCGAGCGTGTTGGGTTATGTGGTGCACCCCTGCAGGGAAGTTAATCTATTCGAATCGCCGTGATCTTCGATAACAGGACGACTTGGAGTTGTACCTTGACCTTATGACAACTAGAACCGGATACTTAATAAAACACACCCTTTGAAGTGCTAGATACAACCGGTGGTCACTCTCTCACAGGGCGACGAGGGGAGGATCATCGGTTAGGATTATGCTATGTGATGCTACTTGGTGAACTTACCTTCTGCTCTCTTCTACATGTTGCAAGATGGAGGTGGCCAGAAGCGTAGTCTTCGATAGGACTAGCTATCCCCCTCTTATTCCGGCATTCTGAAGTTCAGTCCACATATGATACCCTTATTCCATTTGATACCAATGCATACATATGTAGTGTAGCTCCTTGCTTACGAGTACTTTGGATGAGTACTCACGGTTGCTTTGCTCCCCCTTTTCCTCCTCCTTTACTCGATTGTTGTGACCAGACGATGGAGCCCAGGAGCCAGACGCCACTGTCGATGATGACTGCTACTACTCGGGAGGTGCCTACTACTACGTGCAGCCCGCTGACGACGACCAGGAGTAGTTTAGGAGGATCCCAGGCAGTAGGCCTGCGCCTCTTTCGATCTGTATCCCAGTTTGTGCTAGCCTTCTTAAGGCAAACTTGTTTAACTTATGTATGTACTCAGATATTGTTGCTTCCCCTGACTCATCTATGATCTAGCTCTTGTATTCGAGCCCTCGAGGCCCCTGGCTTGTAATATGATACTTGTATGACTTATTTTATTTGTAGAGTTGTGTTGTGATATCTTCCCATGAGTCCCTGATCTTGATCGTACACGTTTGCGTGTATGATTGGTGTATGATTGAATCAGGGGCGTCACATTATCTAAAGCTAAAGATGCCCGGACCACGCGGTGTTATAACAGTATAACACCCACGATGTGGCTATATCTCCCACGTGTCGAGGCATGACTTAGAGGCATAACCGCATGGTGGTTTTGTCGCAAGAGGGGTAATCTTCACACAATCCGTACTGAATAAGAAAGGGATAATGAGTTGGCTCACAATCACCACTTCACACAAATAACAAGTTAAACATACATTATCCAGAGTACAATCAAGGTCCAACTATGGAACCAAAATAAAAGAAGACAACCCCAAATGCTAGATCCCTGATCGTCCCAACTGGGCTCCACTACTGATCATCAGGAAACGAAACATAGTAACGGCCAAGGTCCTCGTCGAACTCCCACTTGAGTTTGGTAGCATCACCTGCACTGGTATCATCGGCACCTGCAACTGTTTGGAAGTATCCGTGAGTCACGAGGACTCAGCAATCTGACAACCCTCGCGATCAAGACTATTTAAGCTTATGTGTAGGATGTGGTAATGAGGTGGAGTTCCAGCAAGCGCTACGCAATTATGGTGGCTAAACATACACATAGAAGAGTAAGGTGAGAAGCTACGCAACGGTAGTGAAGCTAGAAATGATTAAGAAGTGATCCTGAAACTACTTATGTTCAAACATAACCCAATACCGTGTTCACTTCCCGGACTCCGCCGAAAAGAGACCATCACTGCTAAACACGCAGTTGATTCATTTTAACCGGATATTAATAAATTCCCATCTGCCACATAACCGCGGGCACGACTCTCGAAAGTTCATACCCTGTAGGGGTGTCCCAACTTAGCCCATCACAAGCTCTCACGATCAACGAAGGATACTCCTTCTCCTGGAACAACCCGATCAGACTCGGAATCCCGGTTACAAGACATTTCGATAATGGTAAACCAAGACCAGCAAGACCGCCCAAATGTGCCGACAAATCCCGATAGGAGCTGCACATATCTCGTTCTCAGGGCACACCAGATGAGACATCCTACGAGTAAAACCAGCCCTCAAGTTTCCTCGAGGTGGCCCCGCAGTCTACTCGGTTCGGACCAACACTTAGAGAAGCACTGGCCCGGGGGGGTTAAAATAAAGATGACCCTCGGGTTAATTACTCCCAAGGGAAAAGTTATACGTTGTTAGGCAAATGTAAAACCAAGGTTGGGCCTTGCTGGAGGAGTTTTATTCAAAGCGAACTGTCATGGGGGTCCCATAACTCCAACCGCGTTAGGAACGCAAAATCAAGGAATATAACACCGGTATGACAGAAACTAGGGCGGCAAGAGTGGAACAAAATACCAGGCATAAGGCCGAGCCTTCTACCCTTTACCAAGTATATAGATGCATTAATTATGTCGGATCACGAGTTCCGACAAAACCCTTAAGGTTCGAACACAGGGGTGCGCACGAAGATCTCCCCCCTATCGATCCACGTCTTAACTTAGCTAAGATCTTACGAACTAACCTGACGAACTCGTAACACAAAGACACAAGATTTATACTGGTTCGGGCAACCGTTGTGGTGTAATACCCTACTCCAGTGTGGTGGTGGTGGATTGCCCCTTGGGCTGAGGGTGAACAGTAAAAGGGGAAGAACAGCCTCCTGAAGGTTGGGGTGTTCTCGTGCTTGGTGAACTTGTGTGTGTGAGGTTTCGGTCCAAGGTCCTGTTCTCGACCAGTTCACCCCTACTATGGTGGTGGCTAGTCCTATTTATAGAGGCCCTGGTCCTCTCCCCAAATATTGAGTGGGAAGGGAGCCAACAACGGCGAATTTGAAAGGGGACAACTAGTACAAGCTACCCTGACAAAAGCAGACTTCGCCTGCCAAAGGCTCTTGCGATGACGCCGTCTTGGGCTCCACTGTGACCTCCGCCTTGCCGTCCTTCTGGTCTTGGTCTCGTTGCACCAATATGGAAACCTTTGCTTGATGCCTCGGTACTCTGCGCCTGCGCTTGCCCCCTTAGCACCAAAGAGGAAACAAGGTTGCTGCGCGCGCTGGCGCCCGCCTGGTCTCGATCATCATGGCTTACATCACGAGAACCACGCGAGGTTTGCCTGGCCTTGAACTCTCCGCCCCTCACGAACCAGCCTGGTGAGGCCGCTCCTGAGGAGGTCTTGTGTCGTCCGCCTCGCGAGGCTTGGCCCCTCGCGAGGGTCTTGATTCCTTGTTGATGAAGATGGGCCGTGCAGGCCTGCTAGCAAAGCCACGCCGTGGGCCACAGGCAGGCAAGTCTAGGGACCCCCGTTCCTAAAAACCAACAAATTAAATAAGAGATAATGTGATATCCCAACATATCCATGTTCCAACATGGCACAAACTTCAACTTCACCTGCAACTAACAACGCTATAAGAGGGGCTAAGCAAAAGCGGTAACTTAGCCAAACAACGGTTTGCTAGGAAGGTGGGTTAGAGGCTTGACATGGCAATACGGGAGGCATGATATAACAAGTGGTAGGTAGCGCAACATAGCGGTAGAACGAACAACTAGCAAGAAAAGATAGAAGTGATCTCGAGGGTATGGCCACCTTGCCTGGGATTCCACAAGGAAGAAGAACGAGTCCAGGTAGAAGACAAACGGACATAGTGGAACGAATCCTCACAACTCCAGTACGAAACTGAAGCTAACGAGAGAAGCAAATCGGAAAGAGGCAAGCAACATGGTAAACACACACGCATAAACATGGTATGATGCACAACCAGGGATGATGCATGTCCGGTTTAAATATGGCGTGGCAAAGTGCACAAACAAAACTACAAGTTAAGTGAAGCTCAATATGCAACGAGTTGCATATCGACGAAACACCACATTCATTTATTTAGTTCACTCCCAGTTAGGTACTCAACAATATTAAATGTTGTTAAACATGGCAGTAGGTGAAGTGTAAAGAAACTATATATTTAGGCATGTTTAAATGAGGCCAAAAATAACAAACAACAATTTCAGAAAATCCTCATGTGCATATTTTAGATTTGGTGTTGTTCTGCCCTAAACACAATTTTATAGTTGTTAAAAATTTAAATGTTGTTATCATGATGCGAATGACATAAACAAGTTTTATGCAATTTTTTGGAAAATGTTGATATAAACATATTATGAAGCATTTGTCATCGTGGCGGAAACGAAAGGGGTGCCACGGCAACATTCCAGTTCCGATAACTCGATTGGGATGCCGGTGAAAAAGATAGGGCATGAGCGCGTCGAGCAAGATGGTGGGGTGCTCTCGAATACCGGGTTCCCACGGGTTAGTGGCATGGAAACGAGTGACAATTCGGACATTGTGCAAACATACGGTTCATCTCGTACATCACACATATATTCGTTCACAGGCGATAGTCTCGGCGGTTATACCTTCGAAGCGTGCATTCGGGATGGATCGAGTTCGTAGAGGGAAGTAGGCGTTCATGTTCGAAAAGCGGTAGAGGTACGGGTCTTCAACAACAGTCGTACATGCTTCGAGGTCATCGGTAGAGGTTCTCGCATGCACTAGGGTCGTCGGTAGAGGTTCTCGTGAACTCGAAGATGGTAGTGGTACATGTTTTTGTAGGCGTTCGAGTCATCGTTAACGGCACTTGGTGAATCTCAAACCGGTCTTGGCGTCTCATCGTGTAGTCGTACTTGGCGTTTCCGTGTGGTACTCGTCGAGCAACAGAAGAAGTTGTGGTTCGATGGTCTTGGCCGCAAAGGTGGTTGCAGCCACGGAAGGCCGTCAGAGAGGAAGCAGTGGCGCGAGGAGGGCCATGGCAGGCACGGGTCTGCCGGACTTGCAGCTGCGGCTGATGATGACGGCAGAGGAGACCTGCTGGTGCTGCTCACTAGCGAGAGGACGGCGAGGGAGGAGCAAGACGGCGGAAAACTCGGAGCTCGGGGATGAGGCGCCGAGGACGAGGCAGGGAAGCAGCGGACTGGTGGCTCTCCGGCGAACTTGGCTGCATGTACGTGCGAGGTCTGCGAGCTCGGGTGCGTGAGGGAAACAGCCAGCAGGGTCGAGGAGGTGGGCGCGCGAGGGCGAGCAGGCGGCTAGCGATGGAGAGCATCTCAGGATCGGGTGAGGAGGATGGCGGGTTGCAGACGGCTTGAGGAGGCGTCGTACTTGGTGGATCTCGCGGGGTACGAGCAAGGCACTGCGGTAACGAGCCTGGATCGGAGGAGGACCTCGCGGTGAAGACCCCAGGGAACAGGGAGTGGGGCAACGACGATGGTGCTCCACTGCTCCTGGTGCTCCTCCGGCGAGGAGAGTTGGCGGCGGGGACGACCGGATCTGGGAGCGGGCGCAGGCGTTGAGCAGAGGAGGGGGTGGCTGAGGCGGACTGGCCGGCGGAGGCGTGGGAGGCCGACGGCTGCGGGCCAAGAAGCAACCGAGGCGCGGGCGCCAGGACATGGCGACGGGAGACAGATGAGGGGATCGGGCGTACGCGTGCGGTACTCGTGGGTGGCAGAACGATGGGAGAAGGTGAGGGAGAGATCGAGCGCTGGTTGCGGGCTAGGGTTGGAGTCGCTGGGCCTTAGAGGCTGTAGAGCTAGGGATTAGGTGGACCGGCCTGCTAGGAGGCCCAAGTGGCCAGAGGCCTGGCTGGGCTCTCTCTCTCTTATCTCCAAATAACAGAAAAAAACAAAGGGAAGGAGAAGAAAAGGAAGGGGTTATGGGTAGAGTTTGGCATGAGGTTAATTTTTCTGGACTCACAAAAAATGTGCATGTTCACAGAAAAATAGAAGTGGCAAGATTGCAGGAATTAAATTCAAACTAATTTGAATTCAATTCAAATGGGTTTGATCTAGGACTTGGTAAAAGGAAGGTCCAAAAAATGTTGAGACTTTTGATGGAGCTCCGGAAAGTGAAGAAAGGATATATGACAAAGTTAGAGACCAAGAATTGTGATAAAAAAATGGTATTGGGATTTATTTTTCAAGTGTGTTCCGGTTAATTCCAAACAAATGGAATATTTAAAATAGCTCCATAATTATTAAGAGGATATGTTATATAGAGAAATCACCATGTGAATTCCCTCGATTTAAATAGATCAACAGATCTATGCAATTTATTTAGTAGAGTTTAAAAAAAATTAAATGACATGATGGCATGGTGACATGATGCAATACAAAATAAATAGAGCAAGAAAAAAGAAACACACGGTGATCACAAAAATATGGAAGTCTTTTGGAGCGTCGGTCTTGGGGCGTCACAACTCTCCCACACTAACAAAGGATCTCGACCCGAGATCCTAGGGATGGCACCGGAGAGAAACGGAAAAGGAAGAGGTAGTACAAAGTTGCATCTTCGACAAATGAGTGAACCCACGAACCTTGAGAGGTTGAACAAATTGAAAAAAAGAATGCAACGAAGATGAACAAAGTTGAAAACACTCCGTTAGAAAAGAGGAATAAGGAACATTACTAGAACCTTGTAGGTTGAAAGACATAAGAAAAGGGTTGCAATGACAAGAAGTACATGCAAGCACTCCGGTTGAAACGAGATGTACAATGAACGATAATGATCAATTACAACAACACTCTGGTTGGAAATGGAAGGCAATAATATGAACTTGGCAAAATGAAAGCACTTGGATGAGACTCCGGTTAGAAGAGGAATGATAGACACAACACTGCGGTTAAAACAAGATAGAGAAGGAATAAGAATGATATAATTTTGACAGCACTCCGACTGTAAATGGAAGCAATTGAACATGAACTTGACAAGATGAGAGTATACTTGATCAAATCAACAACACACTGCCTCCAGAACTATTGAAAGAATGTCACAATGGGTAAGAAAGATTTCAGCCAACACTCCAGTTGAGAAGGGAGGCAAAACTTGACAGAATGGGAAGAATTCAAAAGAGGGCACGACACTCCCGTTGAATGGATAAGCAAAGGAAAGAACACGATCTTTGACCAAAATGGGATGATGGATCAAAGTGTGCAACGTCACAATGCCTCCGGAACAAAAGATAGAACAGTCTGAAAGTAACGAAGAAGAAAACAACATCTTCTACGTCGAATGAATTTGAAAGCATCCTTCCATAGAGGATTGGATGGAGTTGTTGGGAAATGAACAATGAAAAGAATGAACTTGTTGTGGGCTTATGGAAAACATCCCAAAACTTGAGGTGAAATTCTGCCACTACCAAAAGATTGATTAGCTGAAAGGAATGAAGAGATGGAAAAAACTTCTTTCACCGCGAGAGTAGGAGGAAACTTGGATCAATAAATAGCACCATAATTAGCAACATTCCTTAGGGAAGGCTTTAGGTGAAATATAACCCAAGATAACTCCAACGAAGAGATTGATGGATTGAGAAGAGCTCATGCTCGAAGAAATTGATGGGTTTAACTATCTCATTCTTGACAACTGTTGAATCATGACACACGAAGGGAAATTGTCAAGAGTGACATAACACCACCTCGAGAGATAAAGTAGAACGAATTGCACTTCGGAATGCAAGATGAAGAATGCTTGAACTACTCAAAACAAGACATGTGTTGAACACCATGTTTATTTTAGAGTATAGCTTGGCGGATCATAACTTCGAGAGAAATCTTGAAGAACAATTGAAGAATGAAAAGAATCCTTGACGAACCACCATGTAGACCCTCCATGAAGAACTCCGGTAATAAAAGGATGATGAAAAGAAAGAGAAGTTGAAAACACAAGGTGAAGCCTTGCGATGATTTAGATGGAGCTTCGCGACGAGATAATTCGGAAAACATGGAACTCCAGAAAAGAAAAGATGAAGCATCTCAAATTGAGAAATGTGACATGATGGACAACTCTGGAAAGAAGAAACTAGATCACTTGGATGAAACAATAATAAGAATTATGTTATGTGTATCCTTCACCAATTTAAATTGATGACAAGCAACAGATTTGGCATAATACTTACTCTTCTTGAGGGATTAAGGATATACATGGCGCAAACTTGGGAAAAAACTTGAACAAACCACCGGTAGGATTCGGAAAGAACGGATGAATTGATATGACAACGAAGGAAGAGAATTCTTGAACGAACCACCATGTAGAATTGAAAATGAAAGTAGCAAAGGCACAATTCACCAGGAAGACTTGGAAAGCGAATGAAGATACTTGAGGGGATTTAGATACATGAGAACGAAGAGATCATGAACTGATTAGAGGATATTTGAATGATTCACCGGTAAGATTTGGATAATGTGAGCTGAAAGCTGGAATGAATACTTCTGAGATGATGGGCTCCAGGGAATCAAATAGAAAAGACTCCTGAATTGCTCTGGATGGGTGCAAAGAATTCTCACAATAGAAAACAATTATGAGAGGATGGCATCAAGCTTGAACTACGCATCTTTGAAAGAATGGGTAAGGATTTAAGAGGAACTCTTCTTTGGTCTTATAATCCGAGAATGACGACGAGAAACACTACCAAATTGTTGAGACACTCCGGATGAATGAAAAGATAAAAGATTGAGCCAAAGTTGATGATAATTTAAAAGCGGTCTTGGAGAAGGCATAAGACTGATGGAGATCCATTCTTACATCAAACTTTGAAATGAATTTGAGAATAACTCCAAAAAAATTAGAAGAGTCAGGTAAGATCCTCGGAAAAGACCTGTGGGTTAGGGCCCACTCAAAGATACACCGTTGAAGTGATTTTAAAGAGAGATTGCACCGGTTGAATTAAATGACTTGAACGGATTAAGAATGGAAAACACGAATCTTCTGAGATATCTTCAACACTCCGGAACCCTTGAATAGCGAGAAGTGAAAGATTCAGAGGTGCACCAGCTTGGGAAAACATTGGACAAATGAAAGGAATATGCTTAACATCGAATCTTGAATTAACTCCACCGGGGAAGAAAATGAGAACGAAGAATGATGAACTTGTAGCTTCCTTAGCATCTTCATGAGAACCAGCGGGTGTAACGCCCTCGATGCGGCTATATCTCCCACGTGTCGAAGCACGACTTAGAGGCATAACCGCATTGAAAGCAATGTCGCAAGTGAGGTAATCTTCACACAACCCATGTAATACATAAGGGATAGAGATACATAGTTGGCTTACACTCACCACTTCACACAGTTACATGAATAAGCATTACAACATCCAGATACAATCAAGGTCCGACTACGGAACCAAAATAAAAGAAGACTACCCCAAATGCTACACAGATCCCCGATCGTCCCGACTGGGCTCCACTACTGATCAACTGGAAGTGGAACTACACAAAAGACAAGATCTTCATCGAGCTCCTCCTGATCTTGGTTGCGTCACCTGCTCGGTAACATCGGCACCTGCAAACTGGTTTTGGAAGTATCTGTGAGCCACGGGGACTCAGCAATCTCGCACTCTCGCGATCAAGACTATTTAAGCTTATGGGTAAGGTAAAAGGTATGAGGTGGAGCTGCAGCAAGCGACTAGCATATATGGTGGCTAACATACGCAAATGAGAGCGAGAAGAGAAGGCAAAAGCACGGTCGAACAACTATGTTCAAGAAGTGATCCTAGAACAACCTATGTCAAGCATTACTCCAACACCGTGTTCACTTCCCGGACTCCGCCGGAAAGAGACCATCACGGTTACACACGTGGTTGATGCATTTTAATTAAGGTCAACTTCAGGTTTTCTACAACCGGACATTAACAAATTCCCATCTGCCCATAACCGCGGGCACGGCTTTCGAAAGTTCAAATCCCTGCATGGGTGTCCCAACTTAGCCCATGACAAGCTCTCACGGTCAATGAAGGAATAGACCTTCTCCCGAGACATTCCGATCAGACTCGGTATCCCGGTTCTTCAAGACATTTCGACAGGTTAAAACAAATCCAGCAACACCGCCCGAATGTGCCGACAAATCCCGATAGGAGCTACACATATCTCGTTCTCAGGGCACACTCAGATGAG